GCAAAGTCTGCATCAGTGTCAGTTAAAGGCTACTTTTTTGCCTCTAGCAAATCTCGCATGTACCAAGAAAAAAACTTGAGGCAGCAACGCACCAGCCTTGCCAGCGCAATTATGCGTTCTTGAGCTAAACTTGAAATAGTCAGATCATTAAGAGTGTAAGTGGTAACTGCTTTACAATTTAACATGTGCACTCATGTCGGCTGCATCCTAGTTTTTTCTTGTATGCTGAAGAAAAGCGGGTCAGCTGGGGTGGTAGTGCTGCATTATGGGGCTGCATGAAACCTTAAACTCCAGCATACGTGATTACCGTAAATTTTGCATGAGGGGAGACAAATGATTTCTGGTGACGGGTCGTTCAGTCAAAACACAGTTTTGACAGCGAACAGAATGTCAAAAGCGAAGGATGACGAAATCCGAGCAAAATGCACTCGTTTGAAATTTGGATAGAACTGAGCAGGGAATTTAGAACGTCTTAAAACACCTAAACGTCTTAACTCTCCCTTCCTTACTTACTTTTCCTGTACCAGCAATATTTCTACCTCTTGCATTACATAGTTCGTTCTGTTCTTGACCTCTTTTCTACGTTTTTCATATTACTTTCATGCTGCAATCATTCGATAATCAGATTAGCCCCCAAGCTGAATTCATATCACACGTGGACATAGAATTTTTAGTAAAATTTCAGCTTCAGCTTGTTCAGTACCCCAAATCGCAGCTTCGTTACAAATATCTTTGACCATAAACTATGGCGAGAGTGCAACTTTTAGTATGAGTCCTGAAATGGACGAAAGGTGTTCTAAAAAAATGCAGCTATCGTTTTCTGGTTCATTTTCAGGTTGGCACGGTGCCGACTCTGAATTTTAACATGACTGGCGGTACATGTGACGCAAATGTGGGCGATGCTGAATTCAAAATCTTTAGTCCACAAATGGACAGAGAATATCCATGCTAACTTCCAGCTTCCTATGTTTGCCGGTTTCCGTTTCCTGCCAAAAAATTTATGTTCTTTTTCAGGTGGCCACACATGAGATCTAAGCATGCGCGAGCGTTAATTTTAGTAAGGGAGGACAGCATATTTTTAATGCCCGTTACTGCTCAGTCTGCTATAGAGCGCCAAAACTGACAATAGAAATTAAACCAAAAAAAGGAGGCAAAAGTGTCCGAAATTGAGGCAAAAAGATAAATTGTGCAAGTGGCTGACGAACTGAATCGATGAAAATCAAAACAAATTGACTGAAGAAATCATTGCAAAGCAGAAATTGCTGCTTGAGCTTTTTTAAAACATCATTTACCTGTCCGGATTGTCCAGCTTGACCGGGAGCCCCATTTTTACCTGGTGGCCCTTTCGGGCCTCTTGGTCCAGGTTCACCTTTCTCAGACGGAATGCCAGCTTCACCTCGTGATCCAATTTTGCCTGGAAGGCCTGGTGGTCCAGGTGCTCCGGGAAGATAAACTGGAACAATCCGATCTTCGCCTGGTTCACCTGCTTCTCCTGCTATGCCAACATTTCCTGAAACATTCATTTTTGAGAAAAGTTCACAGTGCAGAGAAAGTTACCAAAAATTTTCAAGCGTACCGGGCGGTCCATAGTCACCAGTGAGGCCGGGCAAGCCAGGCTCTCCAACTTTCCCATCTTTTCCAGGTATTCCTGGTTTCCCAGGAGGACCAGCTGGACCTGGCATGCCACTTTTTCCGGGTAGCCCAGGTGGACCAGAAGGACACTGAATGCAGTCCTCATCATAACTACTGTCGACCAAAAGAAATCCTGGCGTTCCAGGTTTGCCGTCTAGACCGTCTTCACCATCTTCTGGAAAAAAAAGCAATAAACACACTAGCATTGTCTCGTGTTTCTGATATGGCACTCCTGATACTTACTTGACTCAGCTCTTCCTTCATCTCGCGTTTCTTCTCTCCACTGGTGCAGCTACAAACTTCTCAAGAAACAACTCTGATTTGGTTTCATTTCGTCCACATAAATCAATTTAGTTGTTCAAGCGGGTCTTTTTGCCGCAATGACGGTTTTTTCTGTGTTTTTTAACATGCGTAGGTACTATTCAATAATTCGCGTGCCGGATGACGAGTTCAGTACTACTTACCGTCAATGCCTTGATAATTTTGCTCTCGGCAGGCGGAAATCAGTGCACATCATTGAAAATGTGCTGCAGCTTGCTGACGTCTACCAATCCTTCCATGACTCTTTGGATCATCCTTAGCTTTCCTTTAGAAATAGTAGCATTCCATGTTTCAATTTCATAAAAAGCTAGTAACTCAGCGTAATTGAAGGGGACCGCATTTATAGTCGCTGTGTTAGAGATGGAAAAGACTTCTCATAACAGGATGAAGTCTGCACATTCTATCCAAATCTAATTTCTTATCCATCCGTACTGTTTGGTCCAAATAAATGCAGTTAGCCATAAGCTCAACAGACTTATTCTCAAGTCACGTATCGAGTTAAGGCCAGTAGACGTCTTTCATTACTTTTCCCAGTCAGCACAACGTCATTTGCGGAAATGAGTTGAAATATCTCACTGTCGATATAAAATCTCTCCGTTGTTTCAGCTTGTCATAAAAGTTTTTAAGTACGCTTGCTTCGCTTAGAAAATAACTTTGAATATTGAACTAGTATTGTTTTACAGCGCTTCAATAGCCTCCTAATCTCAATTAAGCAATTAAGAATAAAAAGTCTCGATGGTGGTAAGAGCAAACAAAAAAAATAATTCATCACTTTTTTCAGGTGTGAAAGACTTTCCAGTTACAGCTAAATTTTTCACTGAGCTTACTTTTGTCAACATCAGGTTCATCAAAACTTTTCACATCTTACCTCCGTCAAGGCCAGGTTCGCCAGGCGGTCCTTCTTGTCCTTCAGGGCAGTGGCTTGCCTGTTTGCCGCATTCTGCAAAATTCCAATTGCGCTTACGTTCTGGTTGGCAGTGTATTCGTTTTTGTGCGTTTTTACTGCCCAGCGCTACAGCGCTGCAACAGTGAGCGAAAAGACATATTGTCAAAAGTATGTGTACGTATGTATGTGCGTATGCTCCTTAATGACGGATGTATCATATATTTTCTTTTCACAAGTTTAGTAGGGATTCGAAACAAACAAACGTACTGCAGTGGTTGTTGATATACGCGGATCTTTTGATTCTTGTAATTGCTAGTTGGTGCACGTTCGTGGCAGTTACTAGCTTCATCCATGCCTCATTCATATCGTGCTGCAACAAATTCTGTTTCTTAATTATATGGAGGTCTGCTTTAGAACAGTAGGCAAGATGGTTCAACTGATAAGCAGTAGCGGCCAAGCAGCGGATGAATGTGACAGTGCATATATGACTGAACTCTACTACATATTCGTTCTCTAAATCCAAAATTTTATCCAAATGGCCACATAATTCAACTGTGTGTTGAATCCCAAAGTTAGGGGCCGAGGGAGGGGAGGGAGATCATTAAGCCCTTATTATCTTACACATCAAACCTGAAAACCTTAGATTTGGGCATGAAGTTGCACAAATCAGTACAAACTGACTTTTAAAAGCGGCCTTCCGGAACGATTCACATGCATTTTATAGTAAATTAAACTCGTAGAACTCATAACTTTGCCTTTCCATGAGTCGAAAAATCAGTGTGAAGTTGGAATTTGAATTACAGGACAGGACAAAAGGGGAAATGTGAGCCGGATTTAGGTTTGTGGTTCTGCACATGGTCCGACATTTCGTTCTAAAAAATCACCGCCTAGCTTTGGGATTCAAAAGAAAATTGAATTTTGTGGATCAGAATCGCACATATGTACAAACGTAATCTCTTAACAGTGCGTTTTTATTGATTATAAAAATTCGCGCTTTTTACAAAATTTTCAAAAAGACTTTACAACAAATTATCAAACCCTCTAGATCGAGAAATGCATTGCTAAGTAACCTTAAATTCAGTGAACTTGATACCATTAGTGAGACAAAAATGAGAAAAAGCAGTTCCGACAGTTGTTTTATGCATTAACGTTTCTGCATGGTCTTGGTTTTTATCAAACGCACTGTACGCAGCGCTTTCTTTTGGACTGCCACTGACTATGTGCCATGGAATTTGAAGTGTTATCAACAGTTGCTAATGAAATATGTACCTTCAGATAACTTATTTCGGTGAGTACAGAATCATGAGCAATATCGACTTCGTGCTTTACGTCAGCTATTAATAGCCAGGTGAGGGACAAGCCGATTGCACATAATACATAAAACATAGCAGTGAGCGCATGTAGACGAAAGCGCGGAGCACCAGTTGGTTGAATAG